GGCAGGAGTGAAAAAGTGTTATGAGTTATGCAAATATTTTAGAGAATTAAAAAATGTGCTTGGAACTCTACATTCAAGCAATATATATTCTAAATTAACAAATCAAGAAGGACAAGAGAATGTGGAGTGTACTAAAATTGACAGTTACAATTTTAGGTACTTATATTAAAAACCTAATATATATAAAGTTAGTTACACCACTGTCTAAACAAGCATTAGAACATAATAGTTACGAAAACAACTCCTGGAATCATACCAGGAGTCAGATACTGGATCTTGTCTGCATCTCTCATGGCCTCTTTGATCCTGGACAAAATACTAAAATGTTTTGATGCTTGGTTTCCTCAGCTGAAAACATTTACCTCAAGAAGTTGTTTGGGAGATTATTTAGGGAAACAATATTTGTAAAAATGTACCATTTAGCATACAGTGAACTCTCCATAATTGGTGGTAGCAAACTGTAGTGTGGTGGGCTCAGGATTCAGATTGCTTTTATTCAATTATTAGCTCCAACACTAACTTAATCAATTAACTTCTCTCTATGCATTATCCTTCTCACTAAAGAAAAAGGATAACAGTGACCTATTATTAAAGTTTCTATTGCTGCAACACAAAAGACTACAAACTTGGCATTTTAAAACAACATCAATTTATTACCTTACAGTTCTATAGGTCAGAGATCCAGCTGTTCTTAGCTGAATTAATAGTAGTACTGAGTGTAATCTGGTCAAATAATCTAAGATTATATCTATATCTCATTTATAGTCAATGTTTTAGTCAGGCTTTTTGTTGCTTAACCAAAAGACCTGAGAAGAATCATTTTAGAAGGGAAAGAGTTTATTTGGGGCTCACAATTTCAGAGGTTTTAATCTGTAGACAGCTGGACCCATTGCTCTGGGATCAAGATGAAGCACACCATCTGGGCAGAAGGGAACAATAGAGAAAGGCAGCTAAGGACATAACAATCAGGAAGCAAAGAGAGCTCTTGCTCATCAGAAACAACATATAAACCCACAGGTCCACTCCCAGTGACCACCTCCTTCAGCCACACTCTTCCTGCCTACAGTCACCATCCAGTCAATCTCTACCAGTGAACTAATGCACTGATTAGGTTAAAACTCTCATAATCCAGTCATTTCACCTCTAAACTTTTTTGTACTGTCTCACACGTGAGCTTTTGTGGGACACCTCATATCTAAACCATATGTCAATAATGACAGAGATAATATGAAATACTGGATTTAGTTTTTTTTGTGTGTGTGTGTGTGTGACTTGACAAATTGAAAGATGAGTTTCAAAATGTCTAGATAATCCAAGGGCTGGGCAGAAAATGTGGAGTGAAGATAGTCAGCTATTAAGGAAAACTCTTTTGGAATTCTGTGTATGACTAAAGTTTCCTTAACATCATCATCATCCATCATCATTACTACATGGGCTAGGAACTTTTGTGCACCACAATAACTTACCACTATGAGTTTTGTACTATTATTAACTTCATTTTACAGAGGATAATACTGAGAGATGGCAATTAATTGATTTAATTGAGATAAGGGAGTTATAGAGATAGAGACAGTCTTCCAATTTAATTATGTCCTAAATTCAAGGAATTCCTGAATCCAGGTATGCTTCAGAATCTAAATTCCCAGTCAATAATAATAATTCATAAAAATTGCTTCAGTGGGCTGGGGTTGTAGCTCAATGGTAGTGCTTGCCTAGCACTTGTGAGGCACTGGGTTTGATCCTCAGCACCACATTAAAAAAATAAATAAAATAATGTTGTTGTTGTTGTTTTTTTAAAAGAAAAAAGTTTGTATTAAAAAAAAGAAACTATTGTAGTCAGTTTAGACTGCTACAAGAGGTTATAATAGAATGGGTGGCTTGAACAACATATATTTTCAACTATTCTGGAGACTAGGGAATCCAAAATCAGGGTACTGGCAGATTCAGTATCTGGTGGGTGCTTGCATCCTGTTTCATAGATGTCTGTGTTTTCTTATTATTGTGTCCTCAGATGGGAGAGAACAGGGGGAGGTCATCTCTCTGGAGTCTTTTCTTAAAAGGACAGTAATCCCATTCTTAAGGACTTCACTCCTCTGACATAATTGCTTCCTTAAAACTCCACCTTCCGATATCTTCACATTGTGGATTTAGGGTTAAATATATGAATTTGGGAGAAATGAAAATATCCATTTCATATCAAAATCCAGTAAACTTCTTCAGGTTCTTTTTTATTTTTTTCTGCTACTTAACTCTGCTTTAAGGAAGTGTTTTCACTTTATTTTCCCTATAGCTACAAAGTGTTAACAGATGTTTTGAGAAAAAGTTTGTCATAATAACAAAGAGAGATGTTTCCAAAATGTGGAATTAAATACTCTTGGACATGTTTAAACTACATAACCTTTAGAGTATTTAATATTGCTAAGATGCTCCATGAATGTCCAAGAAGCTGGTTTAAGGTGTAATGTTGCCCAAAATTATTTGACCATGGTATGTTGTTGTTTTCCAGAAACCTATTAACATTTTGGGGAAAAGGAGGCCTGCAGAAAACAATTTGGGAAGTGCTGTCAAATGATGTATAGATTCATTTTTAACAATTTAGGCACAAATTTGGAGAAGCTATAAAACTGTAGGCTCAATCATGTGTGATTAGTAAGGTCCCTTAGCACTTTATGTGAGGTAACAGATTCATAATAGATATTTTTAATCTTTTCTTTTTTTCTTTCTTTTATAATTTATTGTGGTCTTTTAATATTTCTTACGTTTAACATTTGAAGGGGCTATACATGAGCTCAGTAAAAGTGAAATGAATGGGATAAATGTAAGTTACAGAAATTGCCTGAAATTTTCAAAATGAAAGACTAAATGATAGATGGTCATTATCAATAAGTGGGTAAAAAGGGGATAACTGCATATGCTGCCTGAGTATAAGACCATATATTATTATTTTTTAATTGAAAATGAGACTTAGTAGGAGAGATATTAAACTGGAAACATCTTTCACATATTGTGTACCAGGTAATAAAGAATGGCATTTATTATCATGACTACAGTTATTTGGGTACAGAATATGCATTTTAATGTAGTTTTATGCCCACTGGAGTTTTAAAAACCCCTTCTTTAAATTAAAAGAAAGATAAATGTTTAGTAATGTATACAGTTGCCAAAAATTATTTAGCTTCCTAACATGCTTATTAAGGTAATATATTAACTCAAAACTGGAAATGAGGAACAAAACAGGAAACTAAAAAAGCCTCTTAACTCATTCTCATCCAGAATATCTCATCACATAGAGACTGGTTTCTAATTTTACATTTTCAGGATTCAGTACTACCCTTTAGAAATAATGCCTTAAAGTAATATTAGACATCTCATTTAAAAAATAAAGAAATACTTTATGATGTACATGCCACATGATGACAGGAAGTATATTTACTCATCTAAGCAAAAATGTTGTGCCAAAAAGTTGAAAGTTGATTGTTTTAAAGTATTTTGCTACAACTCTGGACAATACTGCCTCATTCTAACATCTGTGAACTTAAGCATAACAACAGACAGTAAATAAATGACTTTTTAAAAATCTGTTTTGACCCTCATGAGATTTTGACAAACATTGTTCAGAAAGGGGTTTTCTATTAATTTTTATTGTTTTTGGTTGTTTGCCTGTGATACAATGTCTCTACTTCTCCCTAGCAATTATTTGGTATTACTTTTCCAACCATTTCCATCCCCCTTGAATTGATGATCTCACTTCAAATTCCAAAAGGAAAGCAGAAGTTTAAGTTTGAAGAGCTCAAGAAAATAAATGAAGATGGTTGCCTGGCTAATTGCCTTCAGGTAAGGATACTTATAAGGATACTTATCTTGGGTAAAATTTTCTTTCCACTTCTTGCCAAGGAGAATATTTCCTTCAATATCTGTGTTTCTGTGCTCCGCCCCCGGCCCCCCCCCCCCCCCCCACTTTCCCCCATTTCTCCCCCCCCCCCCCCCCTCCAGGAAAAAAAAAAAAAAAAAAAAGCCCAACCCAAAAAGAGCTGTTTCATTTTGTTACCTGCAACTGCTGGAATTGAATCCATGTACAGTAAGCAATCATTCTAACCGAAAACAGAGGAGAAAGCACAATTGTAAGCCAGGGGCTGTATTTTTGGTTCAATCACTTTCACTGCAAAAACTAGTCCATTTATTTTAGTTTTGGTGGGTAACAGTGAAATTTAAGCCCACCTGAGTGATGTTTCAAGATTCTGTCATTGCATTCTATTTTCTTGTATGGACCCCAAATTCGTCCCACTATTTCTCATCTAAAACAGATGTCCTGCTTAACTAGATGCATGGAATGTATGTCTCCTATTTGCTTTCATCCGTATATGAGTCCACAACCCTTTCTCCTCAGCCCTAGAGTAACTGAAATGCAGTCCATACAGTGGAGCAGCCCAGTCTTAGCTGATTAGCATCTGGCTGCTGACTAAGTTGCACTTCCTGAGAAATCCGGACTAGGACAATTCACTTTGCAGGGTTCGGTCTCTCACGAAGCTTTGTGCCCCAACAGCTACTTATTTTCCCGGGCTATACTGAGAAAGGAAGTTCAGGGGAATCCTTTACGTGGTTAATTATAAAGCCAATGCTAGAAACCAAGAGACTTTCAGACACCAAAGATGCTCCCCTTAACCCCTCAGTACCCAGCTGTGTGAAAAAGGTACAGGCAATAATGTAGGAACTTCGGAGGTGGTGGCAGGTGCCAGGGTGTGGCTGCGGCTGTCTCCCTTTTCTCTTCCAGCAGAAGGAGCCACCTCAGAGGGGGAGGGGGAGAGAAGGAGAAAAAGAGAGACGTGGGGGAGAACGCGGGAGGGAATAAGAGAGAGGGCGGGGGGCGGGCAGGCGCCCAGGGAGCAGGGAGCGCGCCTGCCAGGCTCAGGCTCACACGCACGCCGCCTCTGTTTGTACACACTGCGCTCACGGCCGCCGGCTCGCTCCCCTCCTGCTCACGCTTCATTGTTCTCCAAGTCAGAAGCCCCGCAGCCGCGGCGGCGTTAACAGCGCGAGCTAAGCGCACTGTCCTCTCCACCGCCCGCGGGTCCGCCCGCCCGCGCGGGAGACCCGGAGCCACCACGGGAGTCCGCGCCCCGCCCGCCGAACCTCGGCCAGGACCCACCCGCAGCAGAGGGCAGAGCCCGCCAGCGCTTCCAGGGAGCTCACCCACCTCCGCGCGCCGGAGCGCAGGAAAAAGGGGGAGGAAACGTTCCTCTTGGTGGCCACCACTCTTTCTCGCCCTCTCCAAGAATTTGTTTAAGAAAGCGCTGCGGGAAGAAGACATCTTCTTGAATTCTCTAACAGGGGCGGAGTCTACTGCTGACCTGCGGTGCCACCTCGGTTTCACTGCTCTCGGTGACGACCCCTGACCAGCCGGGGTCACGTCCGGAAGACCGGATCATGAAGCGCTTGGTTTTCACCTGGCTCTTGGTTGGGCTCAGCCTCGGTGTCCCCCAGTTCGGCAAAGGTGAGGCGGCGGGGCCCGGATCGCTGGATGCGGGACGGGAGGGGAGTCCCCAGGGAAATGCTGCGCAGGGGCCCTCGGGCTGTCCTCGGTGCGTGCCACCGGTGGCGAGCGCCGCGGGCGGCGCGGAAGAGGCGGCGCGCCCTGGGTGCCCTGGAAAAGTGCTAGCAAAGTCCGAGCCGAGTGTTCCGGGCTGAATAGGAAGAAAGGTGCGATCTAGGAAAGAGGAAGACGGAGGGGGAAAGGTGGTGGGAAGATGACGGCGTTCCCCGGCACCAGCGATTCTGCTACTGGGTCGCCGAGCGATCCTTCACTAGCAAGTGCCCATGATTCTGGCTGTGGAAGCCGGGCGGGGCTTTCGTAGGGGCCGAAGCCAGGGAGACAAGGGCGCCAGGGTGTCGTCTAGTTGATGCGGGAAGAGGCTAGAGAACCGCAGGGCGGTCGGTGCTTGGCGTGCGGTGCTCTGGCACAGGGCCCAGGCTGAACCATTTGTCAACCCGAACCGGCACTGGGAGTTTTGGCCGCGGGTGAGGTGGAGAGGGGTCTGGTAGGTCACGGGCTTTCTCTCACCGCCCCTTCCCTGACGCACGGCATTGATTACAACAACCCGCCCGTCTTCTAACCCCAGGGGCCTGGAGCTTTGCTCTGTACTACCTCTAGGTAGGAGCGTAACTCTGGGTAATAGAATCCTGCAGTGCGAGTCAACCTTCGCGCCCCCAGCCCAGGAGCAGAAAAGTTGCAAGAGCTGGTCTGGTCGCTCTTTCCATGACTTGCATGGAAAAAAAGAAAAAGAAGGAAAACAAAACAGCCTTTAAAAAATATCCAAGACTTCGAGGAGTCTCCAATGGAGATGTTTAGGTGACTTTCAGGTCCTCAGAGGGTGGCTGGTCAATGCAAATCTTGGTCCAGACCTAGGTCTTGCCGCTGGCAGGGGCTGTGTTGGCGTCAGGAAGGCGCTTGGTGCAGCGGCAGAGACTCTAAGGGGGGTATTGGGGATCTGTGCCCCTCCTGCGCTCACGGATAAGGGAAGCCCCTTCAAAGGGATCCGCGGGTAATAGAATCCTTTGCAGACAGCTTCAAGTGGAGAGCCAGCCGAGTACACTACAGGGTCTCAAAACGCTGTGCTTCTAAAAAAAAAAAAAAAAGTAGTTGGATTTAAAAATGCGTTGACTGAAATTCATTTAAGATTAGACACTGCATGAATATTCTACACCATCCATCCATGCACTCATCTATCTGTTTTAGATGGACTCTTGAGTGACTGAATGTTTTGCCTAAGTCGTCGAATGTTGCTGGCCAGATGCCCTCTCATCCCCAATAGTAGAGATCCATGGCCGCGTTTTGCTTTGGTCTCCTTCCCTCCCCCCAGAATGTGGCTATTTTTCCCAGCCCGCGGGCGTGTATGTAGGTGTATGCCTAGACTGTGTTTACCAAAGTGTCCTTCTAGTTATCAGGCAGCGACATCCGCTCCACTGAAGGTTAAAGAATCGAAATGGTTTCATAGGTGTTCGGATGATTCCCCAGCATTAAGGAAAAGATAAGTGCCCTGATTGTCTTTATTTTCCCTTTATTTCCCCTCTGGATTCCTTTTGCACTTTGATCCTTAGCAAGAAGGGAAAGGGAAGAACTGCAGGCACTCCCCTCTCCTCCTTCCTTCCCCGCCTCTGTTCCTACCCAAACACGAACACATTCACCCACTCACATGCATGTACACCCAGCTAGTGCCTCCACCTTCTGTTCCCACTCCGAAGTGGATAGCGGCGGGGACGGGAGAGGAGAAAGTGCATATAGCATGTTTGGCCGCTCTTGTTTCTCCAGGTCTGGTGACAGGAGCCTTGGGGCATGGTAAATCTGGCTGCTGGGAACTCTGTCTGCTAAAGATACCCACGCTGAGGGCACAACTTACTCTATCAGTCAAGCTAGGCTTTCCATTTTGGTTCTCATAGATAGTTCTGGGGCAGCTTTATACTCCATATTCTTCAGATTTATTTTTTCAGCCTGTCTGTGGGGCAGAGGAAAAGAGGGCTTTAGGAAAGCACTGGCCATTTTATTCCAGCTCTTTCTGTAAAAACTCAACCTCTCTCTGTTTTCCCCCTCTCCCAGCTCTGCAGAAGGCAGAGTACAGCTTGCCTGAAAGCTCTACACAATTAAACTTTGGGCAAACTTTCACAGTGCTTACACTGAGACTGTTCCTCTTTCCACACACGATACCATATATCTAATGTATTTAATGCTTTATAGGAATTGGTGTTTCCCTCTGTGTGGGTTGTGCATTAATGCATGGGATATGATAAAGATATGCAACTCCTTTTATTAGTTGTCTTTATTTTAAAATTAAACCAATGGATCAGTCAGATTGAATATTTTATTAACTCCTAAATTATTCATCATTATGGGTTTGCTTTAAAAAATTCAATAACATGCATACAGTTGCAGCAATCACGTGACATCTTATGCAATCTGTCCCTCACTGCCTGCATGCAGTTTTGTGCCTGAAGTCTTTAAGCAAATGGCACTATCTAAAAATGTCTAGACATGTCCTAAATACTATGAATCATTGACATTGCATTTCTGTTTTTAATTAATGGTGATTTTTAGTTAATTCTACATAAGGATAAACTAATAACAGTCTTACTCCATATAATACTATATATTTATATAGTATTATCAATATTTACGCTGAAATAACAGGTTTCTGTTATTATTACACATTCCTGCCTTCATTTCCTAATTAGCATGACCACTAACTTTATACTTTAAAAATAAATACTAATTTCAGACTCAAGCTGAAATATTTAAAGATAATTTTGAAATGTTAAATTAAGAATATCTGAAAATGAAGTATACTGCTGTGGTAGTTTGTCACAGATGCAAAATCCGGCTATGCCTTACATTGCCATGGTACAATAAGTTTTTCCTTCCGTCCTGAAAAAGTTTTTCGGATTATTTCTCTAATGTTTTCATAGAATTAAAATGTATTTTGTTTTAAGATTATATGACTTTCGAAAAACACTTATAATAAAAATGATGGTGAAAACATTGAAGTGGTCTATTCTTCCTATGGTCTTGAAGTTGCAAAGATTTCCCCAAAGATGCAAATGTATTGCACTTCTGAACATTTCCTTAAATTAAAACTCTGTTGTATTTTTTAGCAAATATCTTCAGGTAAATGTTCATATAAACCATGTATTCAGATCTAAAAATGCTTTAAATAAATATTTTAATAAAGTTTGCTTTTCCTTCTGAATACATGTGATTTTTTCCTTCTTACAAAATTACAGCAACATAAAGGAATAAATTTACATGACTAAAATAAAATAGCATGATTACTCAATACCATTACAAAATATATTTCATAGTTTTTAACAGCTATATTAGTACTCAACTCTTAAATTCCTTGATTTTAAGATCAAGATTTTAATTAGGTTATTTATTCGTAGGTGTTTCATCCTTTGAAGAGTTTTAAATAATGCTATGGAGTGTATTTGTGTTTAATTTTTTAGAAACTCTCTCATTTGAATTTCCTTAAAGCCTAAGAAAGTAATTCTCATATTTGTTGTTTGCTGCACATTCGCAGGTGCAGGGGCTTTGAGTATGATTTATGATGTAGCAGTTTTATTGAATCCTTGCCAAAAAAAAAAAAAAAGGTGCAGGCTTCAGAACTCAGTTCAAGCCAGAAGTAAATCATAATGAGAAGGTACTGAGTAAAAAATAGCAAATTTTACAAATATTTAATTAGTATGGCTTCTATCACAGCTAATCAGTTTACTCTTTTTATTTGCTAAGTAGTTTGAAAACTGGCATTAGTATGAAAAAAAAAAAAAGGTAGAAAACCAAAGCCAAGCCACTCCTATTATTAAATTCTTATTTGTGTTTAAAAGAAGATGCTTAGCACATTTGTTCTTGTTTTTGTTCTTTTATCATAATCCATGTGATGATTACAATATTTTTGGGTTAGTCAAAGAAAATATGCATTTATGGACAAAGTCATATGGCTGCACAAATAAAGTAGAGCAACTATTAAAGTATTTCTCATGGCTTTCTTTGTAAGACTGATAGATATTACTTAAACTGAATAAATTAGGGCTTAACTGACACTAAAAATATCTATAAAATTCTTTAAATATTTGCTTTTAGAGAGTTGTTGAAGGGAACAATACTGGAATTAACCATGCCCTCACCAGCAGGTGTCAGGATATTCAATAGAGATCTTTTAAAGAAAGATGGAAAAAATAAAAACTAAAAAGAAGTAGAGAGTAAGTGCTAACTTACAAATTCCCATAAAATGACCTTCTATGAAACTGATGTATGAGTTTTCAGTGCTCCTAGAGAAGGAGAGGAAGGGTCTTGTAAGGAGCTAGTGCCTGTACCATAGAATTTTAAGTTGGAAAAAGAATTGCTGTGCCACAGACAACCAAGCTCACCCTTAGGTTTGAACCATTGTTTTCAGGTGTTTCCTGACTATAGTCCAAGGATGAACACATAAGTCTATCAGGTATTTGGTAAAAAAAAAAAAAAATTACGACTTAAATTTCTAGCATATTTTCTAACCTTACTCTCCATACCTACTCTTAAGGTTCCCCTATATTTTTGATGTCCCTCAATGCAAAGAGATGAGTGCTTATATTTGTTCTTTTCTGTTGTGATGGTAAAATGTATTTCCTGGAAAGGACAAGTATTGGAATAACATAAGTCGTGTAACCAAAAGAGACTAAATGTGATGTGAGAAATAAATCTTTGTTATTATCAATTTTAGGCAGTTATTAATCCATATATGCTAAATATAGATTATATATGTGCATATTGTGTACCAGACTCTATCAGTGACTTGAAGTCGTTTTTTTAAATTGACTCTTATCAACATTACTTCTCACATCCATATCTGCTGATATAACCCTTAGTGGTATATTTACATTTACAATCTTGCTAGCAGTTTTTTTTTTTTTTTTTCTTTGATCAGGGACTGGACACAGGGGCACTTAACCACTGAGCCATATCCCCAG